TTACCCGTTCCCGGCGCAGTGCAGGCCCCCTCCACCAGTGTTGGGGGTGCGGGGGATGTCTTAGGACACACAGGATCCGTTCGTGTCTGGCTCCTCTTTCTCCGGTCTGTACCAGGTTCTCTATTTTGGAATACTTCCCCGGACCGCAGCTGGTTCGGCGGCGCGACGATATAGGAGTGTGAGTGGCACAACTTATTCCCGACCAACTGTGTCGTGTCGGGCACACAGCCTCACGGCGTGCTTAGCGGCACACCGTCCCGAGAGGGCGGACAGGCAACCGTACACGTTACGTGAGCGTCTCGAGCCGGAACGTCCGTAAAGAACCTGTCTCGAAAGGGCTAGTGTGGCGGTGGGCTTCGAGTGATTGTCGACAAGTCACGTAGATTCGCCGGTCGACAACGCCGAGGTGTATTGTTTCGAATCGCTGTGCGTAGCCTCTGCGTCTTCCTCCCGATCTAGAGACAGGCCTCAAGCGAGCGGAGTCCCGGTAACCTCTTTGTGTCCCGTGTCACCGACCAACGGGCCGGCGACCGCTTTGTCCAGTGAAGACCGAGACGGGCTTGACCTGGGTCTAGACGAAGTGGGGGAGGCCACTTTCGTGGGTGAGCTGGACCGTCCCCCGGCGGGAGCTGTACCCCAGCGGGGGGAGACAAGAGGTCAGGGCCTAGCCCTACCACACCGAGAGGTCTCTATTGTTGTGGAGGACTCTGGTATTGGTGTCGAGAGGCTGACACCGGTTGTTCCGCCGCCTCCGTTTGGAGGCGGGACGGACAACTATATTCTGACAACGCGGAGGACTGGTATATGTATGGAGGGACTTAAATCCCCGTACTTTACGGGCTCCTCCTGACTTGGTGATGAAGGGCACGAGATCCTCCAACGACAAGCTCTGAGACCAGTCTCGCGGGTCGCCGTGGGATAATCGCGGGAGAAGGTCCGTCCAGGGAGGGGTAGGACAAGACCTGCGCAGGGCCACTTGGTGACACTACCATCCTCCAGTGGCGCAAGGTCACCTCTGGGGGAGGCCTCCAACCCAGGCGCCTCGTGGGGGTTTGGCCCTCCACCGGGAAGTGACTCCCCCCCTACCAGTGGTCGCGGCAGCAAACCACGGAGAATCTCCCGTAGGTTGCGCCGAACCACTGGTAGGGGGAGTGACGGTACTTCCCGGTGGAAGCCAAAACACCCCAGAGCCTGGTGGAGGCGCCTCCCCACGAGTTGACCCCTGCCCACTGGAGGAGCTGAGTGTCACAAGTGCCTGCGCAGGTCTTTGTCCTACCCCTCCGCTGGACGGACTTCTCTCCCGATATCCACCCGCGACCCGAGACTGTCTCAGAGCTGGTCCGTTCGGAGATCTCGGTCGCCCTTCATCACAATCAGGAGGAGCCCGTAAAGTTACGGGATTAAGTCCCCTCCATACAAATTACAGTCCTCGCTGTTGGTCGAGGAATAGAGTTGTCCGTCCCCGCTCAAACGGAGGCGGGCGCGAACAACCGGTGTCGCCTCCTCCCGACACACATACCCAGAGGTCTCCCACCACAAATAGAACTCTCGGGAGGTGTAGGGCCCTGAGCCTCTTGTCTCCCGCCTCGCGGGACAGCTCCCCGCCGGGGGACCGGTCCGCTCACCCACGAAGTGGGGCCTGCCACCACTTCGTCTAGACCCAAGGTCAAAGACCCTCCTCGGGTCTTCAACCTGGACAAGCCGGTCGGCCGCCCGTTGTCCGGTGACACGGGGACACCCAAGAGGTACCGGGACTCCGCTGCTGGGCCTGTCTCTAGATCCGGGGAGGAAGACGCGAAGGCTACGCACGCGATCGAACAATACACCTCGCGTGTCGACGGGAAATCTACGTGACCTTGTCGACAATCACTCGAAGCCCCACGGCCAACGACTACCCTTCGACAGACCAGGTTCTTACGGACCGTCCGGCTCGAGACGCTCACGTAACCGTGTAACGGATGCCTGTCCGCCCCCTCGGACGGGGGTGCCGCTAAGCACGCGTGAGGTGTGCCCGACACCGACACAGTTGGCCGGGAATAAGTTGCCAACACCAACAACCCTCCTATACTACGTGCCGCCGCAGAACCAGCTGCGTCCCGGGGAAGTATTCCAAATAAGAGAACCCCTGTACAGATCCGAGAAAGAGGAGCAGACACGAACGATCCTGTTGTGTCTAAAACATCCCCGCCCCCAACACTGGGGGAGGGGCTGCACTGCGCCGGGAACGGGGAATGCCCTGCCTCCCGTAAACTCCAGGAAGATTGTAGACGTGCCCCAGTCACGGACTCACACTCCGTACCCGCGACCGCGAGAGGACACATAGGATTCCCTAAGTCCCTCCGTCCACGATAAAAAAAACAAAAAATGAGTCCCGCTCCCCCGAGAGGGGTAGGCAAGATACCCACGCCCACCCGCGACTTCTGCCAACATCCTACTACAAGTCCTCCGCTCCGGAGGAAAATATGCCAACAATACACCGGGCGGGATCCGGCTGATGCCAGCATATCTTCAAGAGTCACCCCTCTTACGTGCGTCACTATCCATCATGGGTACCTTTTTTGTTTGAGGTCATCTCCCGAGGCAGACACGATAATTGTTCCCAAGTTATACATTAGGTTGCTACCCTTACTTACACACTTTCATATAGTCACAATTTAGTCTGAAATCAAGGTGACCTCATTTAAGTGTTCATGGGACGTCATAGTTCAGTAAGTTTGATCGACGTGCAAATGGTCGAACAACTCTTTGAAATTACTAGTTAAGTAATATTTTGTATAACATATAATAAGACTTTACCTGGGTAGACGTGTGTGATGAAAATGACCAGCGATGAAAGTGAATAAAACTCAAGTATGAAAATGAACTCAGTTGTAAAACTTACGTCCTGAAAATGACATTGCGTCTCATAAGGCATGGAGACCATAATGGATAAAAATGGAGTTCAGGTTCTAGACTCATGAAGACGGTGTCTCAAACAAAGGCCTTCCTATTATTTACCTAAGCTCTAATCCTCACCTAACCGCACCTAACACTAAAACCTTTTAACGTGTTACATTAGGATGAGATCATCGGGGGGGGGGGTGGGCGCTGAAGAGAGGTGTAGGATGATAGTCAGGAGGCGAGGCCTCCTTTTATACGGTGTTATGTAGGCCCGCCCTAGGCCGACTACGTCTATAGAAGTCTCAGTGGGAGAATGCACGCAGGATAAGGTAGTACCCATAGAGTCCAGTAGAGGGCTCCGTCTGTGCTAATATAACAAGGGTTACAATATGTAACCCAACGATGTGGATGAATGATGTGAAATATAATCAAGTGTTAAATCAGACTTTAGTTCCACCTGGAGTAAATTCACAAGCTACCCTGCAGTATACAAAGTCATTCAAACTAGCTGCACGTTTACCAGCTTTGAGAACACTTTAATGATCAATCATTATAAAACATATTGTATATATTATTCTGAAATGGACCCATCTGCACAATCACTACTTTTACTGTCGCTACTTTCACTATATTTTGATGTTCATACTTTTACTTGAGTAACATTTTGAATGCAGGACTTTTACTGTAACAGAGTATTCCTACACTCTGGTATTACTAATTTTACTCAAGTACAAGATCTGAGTACTTCTGCCACAGAGTTTGTTTCCGAAGGATAATCAAATGGATACGAGATTAGGAGTGGATTTGGAGTGGATTTGTGATTTTGGAAAATTGCACAATGTAAATCTACTCTAGTAGACCTCAACAATGGATTTATGATCAGTAGATATGGCCATGACATGGGACCTTTAATATGGCTTTTAAAGCCAGGAGAGGGTACATATAATCCTTCGTAGTACGATTAACAGAGGCCAGCCTGTCAGCCTCTCAGGCCAGTGGCTGTAAGACAGCGGCTGTGCCTCTGCTGTGTCAGGGCATGCAGTCACTCAGTGATCACTCCATACAACCGGGCTCCATTCATCTCATTCTGTGACAGGACTGCAAGACGACAGGATATTAGAGTGACCCCAAGGGAAGACATTCACTCTACGGAACGTGTGCATGCTTTGATATACTGTATAATGAAGTCCATAAATCATATGAGGGGGGGGGGGGG